GTCAAAGATCACCGTGATCAACATGTTGTTAATAATTCTTGGAGAGAAATAGCTCGCACTGTCAGAAAAGACGAGGACGCTGTTAAAAACTGCTGGAATGCCATGTTGTAAACAGTAATTTTTACTTCTACTATGGTGTAGTGTTGGATGCATGCCATAGAGCTCCATGCTGCCCCCTACAGTTTGGGAGAATATTGGCTCACCGCAGAGACAAGCCGCATGAACCATAAACGTTGCAAGTTGTGAAGCGCGTTCCATCCGCGAGCCGCATCACCAAGCGGAAAGTGAATGCGTCAAGCATAAACCAAGTCTTAGGCTCCCAATAGGAGTGTTCATTTTTTAATATATTCTCTCCAGCTGTGTCCTACCTGTTACCTGCACGTTCAGCTGATGCTGTGCTGTCTCCATGGCTCTTTTCCAGCCATGTGATTGGTTCAGCGCAAAGCAACCCTTAATATGATTGGCTGTTCATCTCTTTTATATGAACTTGTTCTCGTATGTCTATCGAGGAAAGGTTCTTTCAAAACATGTTTTGCTGTTCCATCATCCAGCCATAGTTGCGGCTTTCCGGAAACCTACAATCATTTCTTTTATCTTGTCCTCATTAAGACATAGATAGTTGTCGTGGCAACACGCTGCCATGTTGTCTCACCTCATTCTTGTAGTCTGACTCATCTTTGTTACTGATGAGCACCACCTCAGTGTTGTCAAAGGGGTTGCTGTTGTATGTTGGTGTGCAGTAGTGGGTCAGCAAGGGGACAGTGCTGGTGGCGTTACTGCTGACCTGGACCACCTGTGGTCTCCTGGTCAGGGGGTCAAGCAACCAGATACACAAATATGTTCCCAGTCCTAAAAAGTCCAGTGTATTCTGTTCTGGTGTGTTTTTGTATGTATGGAGTAAAGATCTGATCTGAACGTAGCGGGAAAACAGGTAAACAAAACTGCTCTGTGTTTTAAAAAAGAACTACAGCATGGAATTAAAGATCTGATGTTCTTTAAAAAAAATCTCCTCTGATCTGACTGGTGAGATGTTTCCAGTTCACACAGTAAACTCAGCAAACTGGTCACTGTTTCACCAGATAACTCGGATATCACCAAGATCATCTTTGTAAAGACCCATTAGTTGTCACACACTGGTGAAATTTGTTCTCCGCATTTGATCCATCCCCTGGGGGAGCAGTGAGCTGCTAACACGGCCACCCTCGGCAGGAGCCGTTAGGTGGTTTATACCCCCAATCAAACCCTTTAATGCTGAGTGTCAAGTAGGGAATTGGGTCCCATTTTTAAAGTCTTTCTTATGACCCGATCGTGGATTTGAACCAACGATCTCCCAGTCTCAGGGGGACACTCACACCACTAGGCCACTGAGCTTTTGACCACTGTTCTTCAAGCTGTTAAACATGCACAGAACTGACAAGGACTAGGACTAAGAAGAAGAAGAAAATATCATTTCTATAGCGCCTCTTAAGATAAAAATCATGAGGCGCTTCACAAAAACAAAAATATAAAAAAATGTAAAAAAATAAAAAAGCATTTAGAAAATGTTTAAAAATATATTTAAAATGAGCAAAAATAAGCAATTGCGATTTAAAAGAAAAAATGTAAAGAAAGAGAGAGAGTGAACAGGAAAGAGGGAAATCAGTGGATCCTGAGGAAGGTGGAATAGGTGGGGAGAGCAGAATAAAGAGAGAGAGGTGAAGAAGGTCATACAAAAGCCAGCTTGAACAAGTGAGTCTTCAGCTGCTTTTTGAAGGAGACCACTGAGTCCACTGATCTCAGGCTCAGGGGGAGAGAGTTCCAGAGTCTGGGGGCCACAGCAGCAAATGATCTGTCACCTTTGGTCTTTAGCCTGGTGCTGCACAACCAGTAGGCTTTGGTCACTGGACCTCAGGGACCTGCTGGGGGTGTAGGGACTAAGAAGATCACCAATGTAAGATGGTGCTTGTCCATGTAAGGTCCTATAGACCAGAACCAGGATCTTGAAATGAACCCTGAAGTTGACTGGCAGCCAGTGAAGCTGGAGGAGAACCGGGGTGATGTGGGTGTATTCGGAGGACTTGGTCAGAAGCTGAGCCCAGGCCTTCTGAACCACCTGTAGACGGTTCAGCGAGGTTCTGCTCAGACACGTGAAAAGAGTTACAGTAGTCTAAGCATGAGGAGATGAAGGTGTGGAAAACTGTCTCAAGTTCAGAACGAGACAGAATGGGACTCAGCTTAGCAATGTTCCTGAGATGGAAGAAGGAAGAGCGAACAAGAGAACTGACATGAGAATCCAGGGTGAGAGCTGGGTCAAAGGTCATGCCAAGATTCCTGACAGAAGGTTTGGTGTGGGAAGCAAGCTGACCAAGAGAGTCTGACTTTGGGAACCAGCTACCGGGACTACAGCTGGGTGTAAGAGCGGATGGATGTGTGAGTTGAGTCACTGTCTACTTATTTATCGTATACTCTTGTATGACTAAAAGTGTCGGGCTCTCCTGGTTGATGGGTGTGTGTGTGTGTGTGTGTGTGTGCTTGCTTTGAGCTGATCGGTGGGTCTCTAGAGTACCTTTACAGCAGCCTGCCTGACGGTCCGGGTGGTTCTTCTGGACTGACCTGTGGACGGTGGAGACGTCGTCTCCATCGTCTCCACCGTGTTGACATGTGGTTTGAGTCAGACTCCTCTTTGTAGTTATGTTGTTTCTCAGACTTCAGTGGAGGCAGAAGCTGACAAGCTCATGAACAGAAACTCAGTTTTATCTGGAGAGAAACTTCACTGTCTTACGTCACTGAGCAGCTGAGCTGAGTGTCGTCGCTGGCTGGTACCGCAGACGCAGGAGGAGAAGGAGGAGCGACGGGGTGAAGGAGGTGCGAGGAGTCTTGGTTTGAGGCCTGATAAACGCTGCAGAGCACCAGCAACTCCAGTTACATCCTGGTCCTTTTGGACCTGCAGAACTGCTGCTAAACATGAAAACTGAACCGGGTTACAGGCTGGCCGAGGGTCAAAGTTCAGCTACGGTTGAACTAAAGAACTGATCGGTTTTCCTCCATCCAGCAGCTTTTTGTGATTTCCTGGTTCTGCCTCAGTTCTGTTGGCTCCAAATGCGCTCATGAAGGGTCTGAGCTCCTGGTTCTAATTAGAACAGGAGCATTTTTCTGTTCAGACATCAGGATCCTTCTGATGGTCTTCAGGTTCTAATAAACCGATTATGGCCAGATCATAAGTAATTAGCTCTGACTTAATAACAGTGAACCTGAGGTTATTGTGTTGCTAACGGAGACGGCTGGTGAAGGTCACAGCGGTCAGACGACCCGGTTCTGATGTGAATTGGGTCAGAAGTGCTGGTTTTGTGCCTTTGTGTGGAGCAGCAGCTGTTTTATGACGGTTTAATTCAAACCTCGTGTTGCCGCAGCAATGCTCCAATCTGTTTCACCACCTTTTTTCACTTATTTCCCTTTATGGTAGAAGTTTTGTCACGTTTGCAACCTCCAGAACCAGAGCTCAGAGCTCCGGGAGTCTGGAAGGATCCAAATCTGCTTTGAAGGCCTAACTGGAGACATTTGGGTTTTCATCAGGAATTCCCTCTTAGAGGGCACAGAGCAAACTATCTAACAGACTTATATGAAACCTCTGAATCAGCTGTTGACCAGGAAATGTGATGACATTTCTGTGTCTAATTTTCTGATAAAGTGACAGTAATTCCCAAAGTCGTAGCGATATTCTGATGGGATTTCATACGTCGTATTGTGTCTCTACAGCGACACTTGGCTCCTGATCTCTAATGTTGACCTACTCTCTTTATGTCAGCCAGGCCGTACAACCACACAGACACTTTACTGGGATGGAGGGAATAGTCGCTGGAGGCGGCCTCACAGAGAAACATACAAGCACTGAAACCCTGAGTTTATCCTCGTAATAAAATCCCGCCAGTGCAAACGGGATGTGGTGGTTGAAAATGCACGGCTAATGGTAAAAGGTGAGAAATGGTGCTTTAAGGACCCGCGCTGTTTACTATGACTTTTGTAATTCTGCTCCTGTTCCAGTGGCGTTTAACAAACACTGATCAGTGACGAGTGTTCACAAGCAACTGCTGTTTTAAAAAGGAGCTTATAAAGCAAAAAAAGAGACAAACTCTGTCCAGGGAAACTGTCTCCCTGGTCTGTGATCCTTTTCCGGTTGAATAACTTTATTGTTCTGATGATGAGATGTCTGACAGTCTTGGCTGGAAAGAAATTATAGTAAAATTGTATTACAAACGCGAGGTTCGATCCAAAATCCAGACTTTTAGTGTAAATGTTCATTTAAGCTGCAGCATTGATGAGTTTGCCCATTTTTGTCATACTTTATGACCCGTCCCTCCATGAACTGGCCCAGTTCTGTAACAGTGACTCGTTCACAGGGATGGGAGAGTGGGTCAACTGCAGAGAGGAACCATCGAGCGAACCTCCATATTTCACCCAGATGCTCATAGATTTATTGGACAGTAAAGCACGTCAGTGCGTGCACGGTGCTGTGTTCAAGTCCAAATGGATTTTCCATCAACACGAGTCATCACACGGGTTATTTAAAAAGACAGAATGTGGGTTTTTTGTTACATTGTTTAAAATCTTTTTTCAGCTTGTTTGTATTTTAGCCTTTGAACAAAACAGGAAGTAGAGACCTGTGTTTGTTAGCAGCATTCTCCTGCTGGGTTTGGTGCTTTAAGGGCAGAGTTTTGGGTCTGAGAGGGAAGGATCAACACTAACATCGCACGTTACATCAGTGTTTAGTGAAGAGATGTTACCAACAGTATTCCTGAGTCCTTTCTGGGTAGCAGGCAGGAGGACCCCCATTCTCTCAGATGGAGCTTGTTCTGGTTTTGTAAGTGTAATCCTGGAGATTTGATCCCCACCCCCCTAGTCCTGATCATGATCCTCCCAACCAGTTTAAGAACAAAGCCCGCTCTTTCTCCAGCATCTGTCACATTCTTCCTCTCAGCTGTTTGTGGTCTGATTGATGTTTGTGTGAATTTGTGTTTTTGCAGAAACCACAAAATGGGGAACGGCTGCCTGAAAGCAAGCAAGTACTTCCTGTTCCTATTCAACCTCATCTTCTTTGTGAGTATTCTACTTCTTGTGTGTGTGTGTGTGTGTGTGTGTGTGTGTGTGTGTGTGTGTGTGTGTGTGTGTGTGTGTACTCGCTAGATTAATGTATTTAGCTGATTTACTTTAGTAGTCAACCAAACTGAAGATGGCCGCTACAGCTAATCAACGTTAGCAAACATGAAAAGAACTACAAACTCACTTTTATGACCAGAATCAGTTTGGTGATGGTGGTGATGATGCCATTTTTCATTTAAATGTTTAATAAAAACTGATACAAAAGAAGGAAATAAAAAAAAATTGGGGGGCTTGTCCGGGATCCCAGTGTAGTTTTAACGAATTCTGAGGGTTTTGTTTTTCATTATGTAATTTCTGGGAACGTTCTGTTTTTCATATTTATTTATTTAAGTTTTTTTTTTTTATTTACACTTATAGTTACCCATTGAGCTGTTTTGTTAATATAATTTTGTCTTAAATTCTTAATGACGTTAGAACTAATACATTTTCCTTCCCAGGAGATTCTTCAGCACTCGCCACACATGACGGAAAGATTTCACGCAGATTAACTCAGAGGTATTTCTGTTGTTTTTCCAGCTGTTTGGAACAGCCCTCACCGGCTTTGGACTCTGGCTCCTCCTGGACAATCAGAGCTTCATCGTCGTCCTCAGTAAGTGTCCAATCAGGCCTGACATATGTCTTCGTCTGATACCAAGTGAATCGGTTCCGCTCAGATGTTCCAAATGGACTCGTGGTTCTGTTGAACTGCAGATGTAAAGGTCCATGAAAAATGATAATACACAGATTTCTACTAGGCTAGAGAATGAAGATAGAACAGAACTTTTTTAGCTAGGACAAGCTCCGCCCATTCCGACTCAGACAGATGGACTGTTCTGGAGTTGAATTCTGGGCACGGAGGACAGGATGAGAAAGACGAGCAATGTGAGTGAGACATACAGGCTCTGAGGCATCTGATGAAGACTGGATCTGAACACTGTTAGAGTGTAATGGAGCGGGACCCGGGCAGCTGGCTGGCGTCACTGAAGACGCTTGTCCCCCTCAGCAGGTGTCCTCCATCAGACACTGGGTTCTTTCTGCTCTGCTCAGCATCATCATGCATCACATCATCCTCTTACTCATCACTACACACATTCGCCACACTGCATCGTGGGAGGCCGGACGCCGTGAGTCTGGGGTTTCGTTTGTTTGTGGCCACACGTAGATGACCCATATTCAAGTTCAATGGAACATTTTCAGATCTGAATCAGTGACCCAGTGTGGGTTCTGCCGTGGAGGTAAATCAATCAGCTGGCTGGGGCGTCATGAGAGAGTAAGTCAGACTGTATAATGATAAAAACAAGTCAGAACCACAGCCAAACGAGACCTGGCTTTTATTTATGTCACAAGTTTAACCTCCTTTAGTCTTGACCCCTTGACCCCCAACAGCACGGTTCTGTTCAGAGTAACCTGACAGAGTCGATCTGATCAGGATCGTTCAGCAGTTCTTTATCTGTAGTTTAATTATTCATATGAACCAAACATCCAGTCAAGTCCGGTGCTCCGGTTTTGGGTCTAGAGCTGCAGTTCAGAGACAGAGAATTCCTCACCCTCCCTCCCTCCCTCCCTCCCTCCCTCCAGGACAGGGACAGCTATGTGTGTGGCTATCCAGAGTGTTACATAGAGACAGGTTTGCACTCCGGTTGGTCTCAGGAAATCCACCTTTCAGCAGGTAAAATCAAACATGGTTTTGTTTACGAGAACAGAAATCGTCCCAGGTAGTTTTCCAACAGGTTTCCTTCCTGTGTAGTTTCTAACATACGTGTTGTTTCTCCTCAGATGACTCCACAGATGTGAAGATAGCGTGTTACATCCTCATCGGCGTCGGAGCGTTCTCCATGTTTATTGGTTTCCTCGGCTGTGTGGGAGCCATTTATGAGATCGGCTGCCTGCTGGGCCTGGTGAGTGTGATGGTGGTGGTGGGGATGATGATGATTATGATGATGAGGGTGAGTGTGATGGTGGTGATGATGAGGGTGGTGGTGATAATTAGGATGGTGGTGATGATGATGATGATGATGATGGAGATGAGGGTGAGTGTGATGAGGGTGAGTGTGATGGTGGTGATGATGATGATGATGGAGATGATGAGGGTGGTGGTGATGATGGTGATGGTGATGACGAGGGTGGTGGTGATGATGGTGATGATGATGACGATAATGATGATGAGGGTGGTAGTGATGATGGTGATGACGAGGGTGGTGGTGAGGGTGGTGGTGATGATGATGATGATGGTGATGATGGTGGTAGTGATGGTGATGATGATGACGATAATGATGATGAGGGTGGTGGTGATGATGGTGATGACGAGGGTGGTGGTGAGGGTGGTGGTGATGATGATGATTATGATGATGAGGGTGAGTGTGATGGTGGTGATGATGAGGGTGGTGGTGATGATGATGATGGAGATGAGGGTGAGTGTGATGGTGGTGATGATGAGGGTGAGTGTGATGGTGGTGATGATGATGATGATGATGGAGATGATGAGGGTGGTGGTGATGATGATGATGGTGATGACGAGGGTGGTGAGGGTGGTGATGATGATGGAGATGATGAGGGTGGTGGTGATGATGATGACGATAATGATGATGAGGGTGGTGGTGATGATGATGGAGATGATGAGGGTGGTGGTGATGATGATGATGATGGTGATGATGGTGGTAGTGATGGTGATGATGATGATGGTCGTAGTGATGATGATGACGATAATGATGATGAGGGTGGTGGTGGTGATGATTATGAGGATGGTGGTGGTGATGGTGATGTGATGGAGATGATGAGGGTGGTGGTGATGATGATGGTGGTGGTAGTGATGGTGATGATGATGATGATGAGGGTGGTGGTGATGATGATGATGGAGATGATGAGGGTGGTGGTGATGATGATGATGGAGATGATGAGGGTGGTGGTGATGATGATGATGATGATGATGATGATGGAGATGATGAGGGTGGTAGTGATGGTGATGATGATGATGATGATGATGATGAGGGTGGTGGTGATGATGATGATGGAGATGAGGGTGGTGGTGATGATGATGATGGAGATGATGAGAGTGGTAGTGATGGTGATGATGATGATGATGAGGGTGGTGGTGGTGATGATGATGATGATGATGATGATGATGATGATGGAGATGATGAGGGTGGTGGTGATGATGATTATGATTATGATGATGATGGAGATGATGAGGGTGGTGGTGATGATGTTGATGATGATGATGAGGGTGGTGGTGATGGTGGAGATGATGAGGGTGGAGATGATGATGATGATGATGGAGATGATGAGGGTGGTGGTGATGATGATAATGATGATGATGAGGGTGGTGGTGATGATGATTATGATTATGATGATGATGGAGATGATGAGGGTGGTGGTGATGATTATGATTATGATGATGATGGAGATGATGAGGGTGGTGGTGATGATGTTGATGATGATGATGAGGGTGGTGGTGATGGTGGAGATGATGAGGGTGGAGATGATGATGATGATGATGGAGATGATAATGGAGATGATGAGGGTGGTGGTGATGATGATGATGGAGATGATGAGGGTGGTGATAATTATGATTGTCATGATGGTGGTAGTGATGATGATGATGATGATGATGAGGGTGGTGGTGATGATGATGAGGGTGGTGGTGATGATGGTGATGACGAGGGTGGTGGTGATAATAATAATGATGGTGATGATGAAGATGGAGGTGATGGTGGTTTTTATTTGTTATTGTATAGTTTGTGGGCCCTTGCTTGGATCAGTGTTGTTTTAAATTATTTTATGTGCGTACAGCGCTTTGGTTCACCTTCTAGTTGATGAAAACGCGTTACAAATAAAGATGATGATAGTGGTGAGGATGGTGGTGGTGGTGGAGAAGAGGGTGATGATGATGGAGATGATAATTCACACAAAACAAAAACCCTCCTGCTGGGTTTATTTCTGTCAGCCCCGCCCCTAGACAATATAACCAATCAGCAGCCTGAGCTTTCTTACATGGTTTGTGTTTTCTGGGGGGAGGTTTCTCGGACTGAAACAAAACTGAAAAGATGGGGAAACTACAAATGAACTAAATGGAACAAAAATAGTCTTTATTGTCTGTCAGTGGTCTTATTTGGGTGTAACAGCAGCAAAGTAGATTCACAGATTGACTTTTTGTGTTTTAGAAATCCCAGAACCCAGTGTCTTTGGTTCTGTTGGGCTCCAGTAGGTCGACACGTTTAACAGCTGTTTAACATTTCTGTTTTACTCCTCCTCAGTACTTCACCTGCCTCCTGCTAATCCTCCTCGCTCAGATAGCTGCTGGTGCTCTGATCTACTTCCAGAAGAGTGTGGTGAGTGATGTCACCTCCCCTTAATAAACATTTTCACTTTTTCTTTCCCTAAATTGAATAATTGGAGAAAAAAAACCTAAATTTCCTTGAATAATATTAATAATAGTTCTATAATTAGTATGATAAAAACATGTTTCAACATGTTTAAAACATACTGGAGCATTGGCTCCCTCTGGTGGTCAGGTGGTGAATTACAGCGTAGCCCTGCCAAAACCTGACAGCCCCACACTCACACAGAGCCAAGGCAAGGGAGGTGTCTTGCTCAAAGGCAGCAGAGTTCAACCTGCTCCACCTCCTGAGACCCTGCTGCACAGTAGACCAATCTCTATTCTACTGTGTTTTTGTTTTGCTTTTAACAAATGTTTGTGTTTCAGCTGCATGATGGGATGACAAAGATGGTCACCAAGGTGCTGGACAACTATCCAGGAAACAACTCCAAAACCGAGCAGGCCTGGGACTTCATCCAGAAGAACGTGAGTCCATCAAAAACCTGCACCAGGTCTCCGCTTGAGTCTTCGTTCCTCATTCATCACTACTGGCTGATCACTACAGACTAATGATGGGTCCAGCAACACTGACGCACCGGCGCATGTAAACTAGGGATGGGTACCTTTGACATTTGAATCGATCCGGTACTAATTCCCGGTACCTACGAATCGATACCGGTACTTAACGGTACCAATTTTCGATACTTTTGAGTGTTTAATATTTTTAATTCTCTTTTATAATTAGATATATATTTTTCTCAATTTATAACCATATTTGATAAATATCACGATAAATAACATACAACTGTTTGTATTTTAACATCGTCCTTGTAGTTTATAAGCTGATAATTAAACTGAAGCAAACATCTTTACTATGAACTAAATTTACTGTGTATCTTCATTCCTTTTACCGTTCTTTTTCAATTGATTTTTCCTACTGGGAAGTTAGAATTTCCGAGGAGAAAGCGAACGCACCATTAGCTGATAACAATGGTGGCATAGGAAGCTAACATATCAAGCTAACGTTATCTTAAACAGTTTATTTAACTGCTGGAGCAGATTAAAACGATGACGCCTCACACTTAAATTGTTGTCGCTGGTTTCATCTTCACCCAATCACCCGTCACATTTAGTAAAGTGAAGCCAAACTTTAGAGCGTGTTCATGTTCTTCTAGTCGGAATTTCGGAGTTCTGAGGAGAAAGCGAACGCACCATTAGTGAAACGGAAGCTAACAAATCAAGCTAACGTTATCTTACATTTTATTTACCTACCGGAGCAGATTAAGATGAGGATGTCTCACTTAGATCGTTGTCGCTGGTTTCATCATCACCCAGTTACCCATCACATTTAGTGAAGTGGACCCAAGCTTTAGCGTGCGTTCTTTCTACCATGCTGCTCTGTTTACAACTCGCTCGCAGGGATCAATGACATAACGCTCTTGCGCATGCGCAGCTGTCTAGGCAAGTTCTCGTTGTGAAGGACGGGTACAGAAACGAGGCACCGTTTCAAATGAAGTGAATCGGTGCTCGGTCGGTACTATGGAATTCGGTCGGTACCTTAAAAAGTACCAAATTCGGTACCCATCCCTAAAACAGAGCAGCACCCATGTCGGTTTGCGTATTGCTTAGGAAGTAGTCACGTGACCAATACAGCTGCTGTTTCGCTTGTCAGTGAAGCACCAAACTGTGTTTAAATGGAGGAGCGTCTCAGTCGACTTGACTTGAGCTTTATGTATGTACTTTACAGACAAACGTGCCACCAAAGTGCTTCACAGTCACAGGTAAAAAACACAACACATAAAATCTACAATAAAACAATACAAGCACATAAAACCATAAAAAATGAGAATAAAAATAGCAGCACTGTCACTCAACCCACAGAGTTTAAAGTCAATTCATAACAATGGGTCTTTAGCTTAGATTTAAAAACAGCTAAAGAAGAGGATTGCCAAATATGTAGTGGAAGCTCATTCCAGGGTTTTGGAGCTGCCACAGAAAAAGCTCTGCCCCCCCCAGCTGATCTCTACAGACGGATCACTTCTGACTGGCCGTCTCCAAGTTCAGGTCCCCCACCACCTTCATCACCCACGGTGTCCCACAAGGTTCTGTGCTGGGGCTTCTACTCTTCCTCCTCTATCTGCTTCAGCACATCCTGAGATCTTTTAAAGGAATCTCCTACCATCTTTATGCAGATGACATCTAACTGTACATCTCCTTTAAGCCCCATGAGATGTCTAAGCTGCAGCTGTTACACACCTGCTTAGACTCTATCAAAACCTGGATGGCTGGGTGAAGATAAGACTGAGATCCTCATCTGTGCCCCAGACAAGCTGGATCCCAAAGTCAGAGACTCTCTTGGTCAGCTTGCTTCTCACACCAAACCTTCTGTCAGGAATCTTGGCGTGACCTTTGACCCAGCTCTCACCCCGGATTCTCATGTCAGTTCTCTTGTTCGCTCTTCCTTCTTCCATCTCAGGAACATTGCTAAGCTGAGTCCCATTCTGTCCTGCTCTGAACTTGAGACAGTTCTCCACACCTTCATCTCCTCACTCTTAGACTACTGTAACTCTCTTTTCACGTGTCTGAGCAGAACCTCCCTGAACCGTCTACAGATGGTTCAGAACGCCTGTGCTCGTCTTCTGACCAAGTCCTCCAAACACACCCACATCACCCCACTTCTCCTCCAGCTTCACTGGCTGCCAGTCAACTTCAGGGTTCATTTCAAGATCCTGGTTCTGGTCTGTAGGGACTTACATGGACAAGCACCATCTTACATTTGTGATCTTCTTAGTCCCTACATTTCCAGCAGGTCCCTGAGGTCCAGTGACCAAAGCCTACTGGTTGTGCAGCACCAGGCTAAAGACCAAAGGTGACAGATCATTTGCTGCTGCGGCCCCCAGACTCTGGACCTCTCTCCCCCAAACCTGAGATCAGTGGACTCAGTGGTCTCCTTTAAAAAGCAGCTGAAGACTCACCTTTTCAGGTTTTTGCGTGACCATCATCACCCTCTCCTTATTCTGCTCTTGTTCCGCCTTTCCCGGGATCCACTGATTTCCCTCTTTCCTATTCATTCTCTCTCCCTTTCCTTACATTTTTTTCTTTATTCACAATTTTTATTTTTTCTCATTTTAAACATATAAATGTTTTTTTTTGGTAAATCTTTTTTATACTTTCTTTTTTTTTTTGTGAAGCGCCTCATGATATTTATCTTGAGAGGCGCTATAGATAAGATCGTTTTCTTTCTTTGTACAGACTGATCACTACTGACTGCAAGATGGAATGTAGAATAGTAAAGCATACAACCAAATAAATAAATCAAATCAGGAGAATAAACATGTCAGGTGGGACCAATCCAGAAGGCTTTTAATTAGAGGCGGTTGCAGAACATCTGGTTCTAAAGCATCGACCCGCTTGGCCGACACAGTAAAACGTGTTGATCTGATGTTTGTGAACCTGCTGCAGATGGAATGCTGCGGCTGGAATGGGCGCCAGGACTGGTACGGGAACCAGATCGTCGTCAGCAGCTCCCAGCTGCTTTTTCCCTGCTCGTGCCAGAACGTCTCCCTCACCTCTAACGTCTCTGACAGTGGGTTCTGTGAGGCCCAGGCGTCTGACTGGCCCGTCTACGACAGGGTAAGCAACACGTCCTGTTGGCTGCAGCTCAGCCGTGTGGTTCTGTGGTTATTAACGTGTTTGTGTTCGGATCAGGGATGCGCCGCCAGCGTGGAAAACTGGCTCTTCACCAATCTGGGGGTCGTCATGGGAATCTGCATTGCTGTGGCTTTTGTCGAGGTACAGGAATCGTGTTTGTTCAGAAAGGATTGTCATTTCAACTGAATGTTGAAGAATAATGAAATAAAGTAATATCTATTTACGATGGGTCTGAAACAAACAGCTGAGGAAGCTAGAGAACTTTAAAGCTCAACGTATAAATAAAATCAGATTTAACAAAGATTTTTGTTAGATATAATTTTAATGAAGAAAAATATTATTTCTAAATATTCACCTTATTTAAGTAGCTAACAGTGATTAATTATAGAATGCATTTAACACAAATAGAGATTAAAGGGAAAAAACATCAAATCATATCAATTAATGACAAATAAACATTACCACCAGTCAATGATAAAAGGAATGCAAATGATCCTTGACTTTAATTGGATGTATTTACATTATTACTGTAATAATGTTAATTAAAGAGGTGGTCCTTGCATTTTCAGTGGTCTCTAGTAGGAATGAATGCTCTGTAAGTTGCACTCTGGTGGAAAAAAGCTCCTGTTTCATCACAGAGAATAAAGATAAAGGAGAAAGTAGCTTCAGGATTTGGAGTCTTAATCCTGATATTTGGACATCTTGCCTCGGACTGGCTAAAAGCAACGCGACTACTACTGAAATAGTTCTGCCGTTTTGTGGAGTTGCTAATGCTAATAGTTAGCTCATGCTCATTGAGACGTTCTCTGCTGTTCAAGTGCAAGTGTGAGGTACATCAGGCTTTTCAAATCGTTTGTTTAGAGTTTCACTGTCTGTTTTCTATCGGGAGCTAATGCAGGAAAAAGGTTCAGCCTGCATGTTAGCATCAGAGTGACCAAACATTTTCAAATATATTACATAAAAACTAGTTCTCAATGAATGACCTCTTTAATGTACACTGTTCCTCTTGTGCAAATAAATAAATGGAATAAACTGAAAAACTTAATACAGGTGAGACGCTGAAATCACAACATTTGATAGCAATATGTTGTTATACAAAACATATTTAAAAGGTTAAACTTGGTATGGAGGGTTATAGAAAATTAAGCAAATGAACAGGCTAAGGGGTTTCATCCGTTTAAAAGCAGGTTCAGAGATTGAACTGCGCTTGATCGAGATGAGCGCCCTGAGGAACACCTCACCACATTTTGTTTGTTGGGTAATTTTGATATTTCTCCCATATTACCTCAAAGAAAGTTCAGAGCACACACAGAGGGATTAGATTGATAATTTGGTAAATTGTAATCCTGCCAACAACAAACAACAACAAATACTTTGCAAAGGGTGAGAGAAATCAAATACACACCATAGACGGAGGTCAGATTGCTCTCACACCCAGGCAAAGCCTTGGAGCTCCTTTTATTTAGGAAGGCACACCCAGAAGTTACAGATAAACCCACACACACAGTTCTTCAGAACCAGCTGACCGGGGTAACCTAATCAACAGATTGTTGGACCTTCATCTTGTCTCAGGAAGTTACAGATAACAGGAGGGTGATCAAAGAGGTCATTCTTCACCACTCTAAAATGTAAAATAAAATTGATGACCCTCCGTTTAAACAAACACCTACACTGTTACATCAATAACCCTGTGACGTCAAAATCAGTTATATCCATCATTGTTTTTGTTTTGTTTTTTTCTCCAAAGACAAAACCACTTTTAAAAATCTGTACAGTTTTTCTGGTGTTTATTCATTCACGTTCTTATTTTTACAAATACACTTTAACAGCTTGTTTCTTGAAAGAGCAGGTTCATTGAGAAAACTGTTTTTACTTATTATTACTGAAAATGATCCGTCACTCTGACATTGTCATGCAGGCTGAGTGTGAAGATAATCTTCTACCCCTGCTTCCTGCATGAGAAAATAGACAGTGAAACGTATGGTTGGGCATCGATTGGAACCGGGACTAACTCAGTTTTCCCCGGAATCGTTTAAAGTGTTTTGTTTCGATTCCTAGTATGCCGACCAGAAGAGGAATCCGCGGCCAATCTCTGTGAAAAAACACGATTTGCACATTCTGATCAATGCCTGTCAGAGTTGATCACACCAGCTGTCTGTCGCTCCTTCTCTGCAGAGATCCTGAGAGCAGCATCACGTTCCCCCTCCCTTCCCTGACACAGCGCAGGCGTGCAGCGGCAAACGCATCCGCCGATCTTTTATGGTGCAAACTTTAATTCCTGCAGCAAAAATTCTGCACTGAGGAAGCTCGTTAAAACGCATCAGCACAGTGGATTTAATAGAAGTTTTAAGAACAAACTTAGGCGGTGAGAGGTGAGTTTTTCTCACCGCAGAAACACACTCGTGTGTGTGTGCGTGTGTGTGTGTGTGTGTGTGTGTGTGTGTGTGTGTGTGTGTGTGTGTGTGTGTGTGTGTGTGTGTGTGTGTGTGTGTGTCAGAAGGCTGAACAATAACCTGTAAAATAATTAAAGTCCTCATGCTAGATCAGCCTCTCCATGGTGGACCACACCAGGTTCTGGCCACTAGGATCCATCCATCCATCCATTTTCTGAACCCGCTTGTCCACGCAGGGTCGCGGGGGCTGGTGCCTATCTCCAGCGGTCAACAGGCAATCAGGCGGGGTACACCCTGGACAGAGAGCCAGTCCATCGCAGGGCAACACAGAGACACACAGGACAAACAATCATGCACACACACACACACACACACTCACAGACACACACACACACACTCACCTAAGGACAATTTAGACAGACCAATTAACCTAACAGTCATGTTTTTGGACTGTGGGAGGAAGCCGGAGAACCCGGAGAGAACCCACGCATGCACAGGGAGAACATGCAAACTCCATGCAGAAAGATCCCAGGCCGGGAAGCGAACCCAGGACCTTCTTGCTGCAAGGCAACAGCTCTAACCACTGCACTACTGCGCAGCCCGCCACTAGGAGCCGATAAATCAATTAATAAATCAGTTAATAAATCAATATAATAATAATAATAAATCACAACATGCAAAGTTGAGAGATTTTTTCTTTTTTGAAATATTTAGTCTGAGAGCTTTACTGTTTTAAATCTGTTAGATTGTCGCTGACTGCAGCTACATTTAAGTTTCAGTTTCCCTTCTGTCTGCGTCGTTGCTGCAGCATGTAGGTGCAGGTTCTCAGTCATCCTGGACGTGATCATCCTGATGGTTTTGATAGAAAACCGCTGGAATTTTCTGGTTACGTTGAAGACAATTTGCCTCTCATCCCAGACGCTTCAGTTCTCATACTTTGGTTGTGGTCAGAAATACACGGATCTATTTTTCTTTCCTTCTTGAAAATATGTTTCTGTTCCAGATAAAGGTGATGTTATTGTTCAAAGAATAAAATTCATGTTGGAGTTCAGAATATTTCATCAAGTAAGACCTGTGGTTAGCAGGCGCATTAAAACATGATGTTTTTGGAACCTGCCACTCGAAAGAATCGGAATCAGGAATCATTGTGAACTGGAATCAAAATGAGGAATTGGAATGGAAATCCAACCGTAGTCAAACGCCGGTATTTTAAATCCTGGCAGATCTACGTCACACTGTCACTTAATATTCATGGACTCACACATCTCTTGACTTGTGACAGAAATGGCTGTTGTTGGTTTGGCGTCCAGGAAACATCAGAGAATGTCTCAACTAGTTGAAGCTAACCATTAGCATTAGCAACTCCACCACACAGCAGAATTCCTTCAGGCTTGTGTTTTTTGTGGAGCCAAAACACCAACGTTAAAACAAAGTTAGTGGTAGAATCATGTTGCAGTTAGCCAATCAGAGGCCAGATGTCCAAATATCAGGAAATAAGAGTCCAAATCCTGCTGTCTGAAGCTGCTTTCTCCTCCGGCTGACTTCTGTGTCCTCAAACAGGCGCACCAGAGCTTTCCCCGCCACTCATTCCTACTAAAACACAGCTACAAATGTATTAATAATATGAGTAAAAATTTACCATTAATTTTTAAAAAGGACACTTTAGATTAATCGTTTTCTAACGCATTGAAAGGGAACTGAGGATTGTGGTTTTTGATTTTCTGTGTTGTTTTGTTTGATTTACAGCTGCTGGGGATGATTCTGTCCATCTGCTTGTGCAGAAACATCGAGAGCGATTACGAGAAAGTATCAAATCCCGGGTTGGCCTATTAAACAGGGAGCAAAAGGAGTGAAACGTCAATTTTTGAAGCCTATATTTGATAAAAATTTGTCCAAATGTAAAAATCTTGTTTTGTTTTTCTAGTTTCCTTTAAGCACTTTAGAAACTTTTATTTGAAACTTTAGATCAGAGTGATGCTGAATTTGATTTATTAATTAGAAGACGAGATTTAAGGAGGAGCCCCTAAAGTAAAACTCTTATTAAAGTGTCTTTGTGCTTTTAGTTTCCTTTTAAATCTGAAGTTTGTGAACGTTTGGGTGCGCTTTCCTTTTCTACGTGAGCAGTTGAGAGGTTTTTACAGCTCTGTGTATATAATTTTTGTGATTATTTGTATAATTTGATTCCAAAAATCTTCCCGTCAGCGTTTTTATTTATACCTGGTTTCTGTGAATTTTGAAGTCGATTTATGTTTTATTTTTTGAATTTTTATAGAAAATGATGATAAATTAGAGACAATTGTTTCCTCCCAGGTTAAATCTGTTTGTTTTATAAAGTAAGCTGAGAGTTAATCTGATGTTCGCAGCCCAGATTAAATCTTAAATGGATTTTTTTAACACATTAAAATGTATTTTAAAGGGAGAAAACCATTTTGGGAGACGCTTATCTTGGAAATAAATTGAAGCTTTTGAGCCAGGATGTTTTTAAGCTTCCAGTTTTATATTCTATTCCTTCTGTATGAAAACCACTTTTTTAACCTTCTAATGTTTTCTAGATAATTAAAGGTATGTCTGTTGTTGTAAGCTAGAGTCATTAATATGGACTCACTGCATTTATTCTGTTTATTTTGTCAATAAACTGATCTAAACATCTAAAATATTGTTGGGGTTTTTTGGGGTGAAACTTTTAGTTGTTGATTTCAGAACAAAGCAAACAAATGGACCTTTTATAAGAATGCTTTTTTTCTGTAATACTTGTTAAAGCCACAAGAGAGCGATGTTTCTGCCCCGAGAGGCAAATCAAGACATCTTTATTTGTGGAGTGGGAAACCTGTATAGTTACAGCAAAAGCAGACAGCGCAAGATAAAGTGCTTTGAGATTTAATAGAATTTCCATCCTGTCCTGTTCAGGCAGACCGAACCAAAGCTCGTTTCTGCCAGGAAGAAAGGTCATGTGGTCCCATAACAAATATGAACGTAGTAATTCTAAAGACGTGTCTGAATATGATTGTGAGAGCTACCGACCGTGTTTTAAAAACATTTGGCAAATAGACCTGATTCTGATTTATCTGCTGCTCTCACACTCGTGTGTGTGTGTGTGTGTGTGTGTGTGTGTGTGTGTGTGTGTGTGTGTGTGTGTGTGTGTGTGTGTGTGTGTGTGTGCATGCATGCGTGAGAGTGCATGCATGTATGTACGTGCGTATGCTTGTTTGTGTGTGTAAATGTGTGTGTGTGCATGCATGTATGTGTGAGTGCATGTGTGCATGCGTGAGAGTGTGTGCATGCATGTACATGTGTGTGCAGTGTGTGTGTGTGTGTGCATGTATGCATGTGTGAGTGTGTGCATGCATGTGCGTGTTTGTGTGTGTAAATGTGCGTGTGTGTGTGAGTGTAAGAGTGTGTATGTGTAAGTGTGTGTATGTGCATGCATGTATGTGCGAGTGCATGTGTGTGTGTGTGTGCATGTATGCATGTGTGAGTGTGTGCATGCATGTGCGTGTTTGTGTGTGTAAATGTGCGTGTGTGTGTGAGTGTAAGAGTGTGTATGTGTAAGTGTGTGTATGTGCATGCATGTATGTGTGAGTGCAGTGTGTGTGTGTGTGTGCATGTATGCATGTGTGAGTGTGTGCATGCATGTGCGTGTTTGTGTGTGTAAATGTGCGTGTGTGTGTGAGTGTAAGAGTGTGTATGTGTAAGTGTGTGTATGTGCATGCATGTATGTGTGAGTGCAGTGTGTGTGTGTGTGCATGTATGCATGTGTGAGTGTGTGCATGCATGTGCGTGTTTGTGTGTGTAAATGTGTGTGTGTGTGAGAGTGTAAGAGTGTGTATGTGTAAGTGTGTGTATGTGCATGCATGTATGTGTCAGTGCATGTGTGTGTGTGCATACTTGCTTTTATCTTTACATGTTTAAGTGGACACATTTTAGAGTTAGCCTGTAGTGTGGATATTTGCACATTGAGGGGACATTTTGCTGATTCACACATTGCTAAGCACCCTAAAACTTTTGTTTTAGAGATATGTTGTGAATTAACTTTTAGTTTAGGTTAAGGTTAGGAATATAAACCTGTTGGTAAAGGTTAGGATTAAGGTGATTAGGCCCCTGGTTAGGCATAGTTGAGTGTCTAAAATGAATGAAAGTCAATGGAGGTCCACACAAGCATATAAATACAAGTGTGAGTGTGTTTGTGCATGCATGTGTGTGTGTGTGTGTGTGTGTGTGTGTACATATGACTTTTTCACACTTCTTTAATGAGACATTTCGCCTCGTCATGTTCCATTTGGTCCTGTTTCTATCAGAAGCATGAAGACGTTCACACGCCTGTCCGACATGTTGCGGTTCTGTTTTGGAATGTGTTCAGAAACCTGCTGACGTGTTTCGAACTTGGATCAGCATCACCTGAGTTCATAATCAGAACATCTAACTGATGGAGATTAAAACCAACACCTGAATTCAGAAGCGTCTCATAATGTATCTAAATAAAACATTCATCTACAGGTGTTCTGGTACCAGAATCCAGGATAAAAACAAGTCTAAAGTCTGGTCAAGGTCAAACTTCTGGTCTGGATCAGGAGTTCTGGACAGCTTAGGTTCTATCCACAGACCCGGTTCTGCTGTAGAACATCCAGCTGTTAATTATCACACAGAAACAGTATCTTTAGGACTGGTACCGGTTCTGGTCATTAGTTGTATCCCAGATTAGATGTAGTGCAGTTTACAAAGAGGTGATGAAATCAGAAGAACCAGAACCACTGGATGAGCTGAGGCTGGTACTGCTCTTGTTTGTCGGGTTGATCCCAGGCTAGAACTGCTGGATGAGTCACCCGGTTCCCCCTCTGGGATTTAGAACCTGACAGTCTGGATTTCTTCAGCTGGTTTATGAAGCGGCAGGAACAACCTACAGGTTCTCGCTAGGAATATCAGCCAAGCTGGAAACAGAACCGGGATTATTCCGACCCAGAAATCTTCCTCCCCCGTAGAGACATTCATGCTCAAAGCTCATTTTGTTTGAAAGTTGTAATTTTAAATTACAACTTTAATATTTCCTTTGCACTTCCTGACTTCCTCATTTCACTCTGTTTTTTTTTTTTACCGTTCTTCATGTTTGATCGTTTATCCTCACCGGTCCAGTCCTTTTTTTTTGGCTGTAAAACACTTTACTATTGTTTATTTATTCATTCAAAGTTTTAGAAATAAACTGACAGACATCTGGGAGCAATAAATCGTTCAGAAACATATTTTTTTCCTCATCACTATGGAATTCAGTCTTTTAGAGATGTTATTTATTTATTTATTTTTAATTTACCGTCAAATCAAAAGCAGTTTTCTTCCAATCACAACACCAGAGACCTGAATCTACCCCCCCGTGTGAACAGAGCTGACGTCCTTGATGCCCGATGCTCCTCTGGAGGCTGTCGGGGTTCATACATCAGACGCCCGCAGAGAGGACCCCTGAGACGTCACGTGTGACAGGAGGACGAGCTGAGGTAATGGATGGAGACAGAGCAAGGCTGCATTTCTCTCCAACAAGAAAACACAGGCTTTTACTCTGTTTCATCTCTCCTGCATGTCCTCCTTCAGATGTGGGTGTTGAGCAGAAATCTGCATGCTAACCGGAGGTGGACGGGTGATGTGAGACTGACGGGCCATCATGGCGGGTGACGGTTTCTGTCAGGTTGGAAGCCGTTGGTATGCAGGAAGCGGTTTTCTCTCCTCTCTGAGGTCTGATGCAGCTCTGCCTCTTAATTTAATGACCTTCACACACATTCAGATTTACTGAGTGAAGACCAAGAGTTTAACAGCAGAAACCTCTTGCCACAAACAGAGCAGGTCTGAGTTAAGATGCTGACAAGACTTCACACCCTGATTTTGCCCCCAAAATGACTGAAAAGCAATTTATTGTTGAATCATTATTCTTGTTACACGATTGCCAGGTGTTTCATCACAACCAGTTCTTCTGCATATTAGACTGAGTTCTGCATCACCTTTAGCTTTTCTTCTGTTATCTGATGTCAGAAACAGGAAGGGGAAAGTCTAGTCCTGCCTCCTCACGATAGAAATTCTGTTGTGTTTTACCTCCAGCCTGCAGGCGTCCGCCCTCAGAGCACATGTTTCCTCCCAGCTGTGACCATATCTTTGGGACCTTGCTGTATTATTTAATGAAACACATACACACACGCATACACTCCTCAGCCTCTGGCACTTTTTGTTTGCAGCCTATCAGCCTCCACAGTGGTTGTGGAAGAGAACCAACTTGAGAATGAGTTGGACTGCCTAAAGGGGGCTTTGTGTGGGTGTCATTGAGATCCAATGTCAAGGTCTATCTGGCTGAAAATGTACATTTATCAGATTTAATTCACCTTTTACTGGTGTAGCAGCACCTGCTGACTGCTGGTGTTTTTTTAAACCTTAGTTACTTTGATTGCTGCAGTGCATTATAGGTACACATCTTAGTTTGGGTAATTATTCCAGAAGATCTAAAATTTCATTAGGATGAAACCAGAGCTGAGCTGCCATGTTATTTATTTATTTTATTTTATTATTTTTTTAGGGAAGCTTTATTCACATTGTGACCTTTAACCTTAACAAAAACCTGTACAATCTGAGATTTAGTTTAGTTTTTTTTTTTTTTGTCATTTCCATGAGCCTATGCTATAATGCTGGGATATTCAGGAAGATTAGTAACTGTCTGAAATGTTTTCCACTGGTAAAAACTCACAATAACGTTAATTCTAACATCGAACGTTTTGTTGACTGTAGTTTGTGTTGCGCTTTTATTCTGAAAAGTCTAGCGGAAGTTTTGTGTGTACATGTCCGGTTTGTTATGTTTGCGGCTCGTGGCGGTCATCATCAGTCTGACCGAGCCGAGGAGTGAGCTCCGTGAGCCCGCAGACCGAGCTGCTGCTGTTGGGAAAGGTCGGAGGATTTACCCGTTTGTCCGGAAACGCGATTTAAGGCGCAAAAGAAGCAAATTAATCGTTTTAATCCTGAAAATTCGGTAAGTGAACGATTTATTTTCACCAGGAGGCGTTTTATAAAGTTAGTCAGGAACTGTGGAAATATCAGTGAATTTAACTTTAGCGAAATGAAGTGGGTCGAGTTTGAAATGTTTCTAAAAGATAAACTGAAGTGAGAGAATCTGGTTGTAAATGGGGTGAGCTCAGGAGCTCCAATTAGTTTCAGGTGTTTAATTTCTCTGCAGGTGTTTTATGAGCTAAATATTCGACTAGAAAACATGCATAACGTTATATTTATTATTAAAATATCATATTTTATTATCAGTAACTGACTTGTTAAAGGAAATATTAATCATATATAATGTAACAGAGACATTATTTTAACGTTTTTCAGATTTGTTTTTCTTAATATAACTGAATTGAGTTCTGTAAAATCTCTGACAGTAGCTCTTGTTTAAATTTACTTGTGATAATTAATGAGCCATTTTTAGTTATTAATCTGATGGTTTGTCATGTAGGTAAACAATCTAAGGATTTATTTATGATAAAGCATTCAAATCAGTCCAGATTTGTGTTACTGTATTTTGTGGTTGTAATTGGGTGATTCTCTGCAGGTCTGAGTTTAATGCAGATAATTGATAATAATAACAATTTACTAGGTTTTCAAAACGAAAGATCAGAAAACACCAATTTTCCGCAAAAATAACTAACAAATCCATAGAAAATCTGTAAAACACAACCAGAACTATGTAAAGAAAAGTAACAAGGGACGTTTTCTCCTTTGGGTTGATCGTGTGATCAACTATGACATTACTCAGATCAAAGAAACTGGAGAAAGTTTAATTCTGGTCCTAGTTTAAAACACGTTGAAGAAACAGGCGAATCAGCAGAAGTGGAATGCAGCCATTGTTAACACACCTGTTTACTACATGCTGGTGGCCTTCTGCTAAAACAACCACATCAGTGTTCAGATGGCCTGGTTCCCTATAGACCCACATCCTGACAGACCAGGTCAATGGGGCCAGCCCCATTTCTGAGTCTGTTCAGGATCAATGAAACCAAATTTCCATAATTATCAGAATCTCAGCAAATCTCACAAACTCAGTTGCATAACAAAAGTTTTAGATTTGAAATAATTATTTATCTGAAACAAACTCCAAAGATCGGCTTTGTTAAACAGACAGTAAGGCATTAAACAGGATCAGACCTTTAGTTTTTCTTATAAGAACTAAAGCCATCTTAATGCAAAAGCAGCGGCGTGTAATGAAATAGAGGCATTTTCCCGGCGTACTCCCTTCCAACTGGGAGCAATTCTGACGCGAACAGGAGCAAAAGCGTTCCACACAGCTGATCCTGTAAGGTCATAAAATCACAGGAGAATTGCAACACCACGTGTGATTTCAGAAGTCCACACAATAAAAAGCAAGGACAAAGACAGCTGTGTGTATCCAAAAAGGTCTGTGGTTTATTTTCTGTTCTGTTTACCTTGACGACAGGGGTTTTAACATGAAAGGACGTATGTTTATCTGCACGTAACTTTTATTTAGAAAATTTCCCGATGTTTTACACTGCTTCGGGCTGACTTCCTGTCTGGTCTGCTCTAAACAGCAGAGCTTGACGTGTTTTTTGGAAGCATAGCGGATAAAAAAATTGTCTCGAAACGCAATAACATCTCTTCACTTCTGGGACGAATCCAAAATGTTATACCTTGCTGCCGGTGGAAAGGAAATCGTCCACTATAATAGCGGCTAATTGTCGTTCTTCTTCCAACTCTTCGAGGGTGCAGACGCTTTTTTCCTCCTCTCCTCCATATCTTATCCTCAAGGCCTTTGTCTGTCTGTGTGTGCTGGGTGCACGGCTGCTTCTGCATTTTTCTGGAAACTGAAATTCACTTAAATGGATCTCATCAGTTGGTCTCTCAACTAGGGCTGGGCGATATGACGATTTTAGACCGTTTTACGATCTACACATCTGACGGTCTGTCATTTTTGAGAGACCTTTTTATCACGATTCACAGCTCTGCTGTTGAATTTCAGCCTCTGAATGAAAATGGAACTTACCTCAGGCGAATGACACGCCTTTGTTTGACCCTTAACCAATCAGAGTGAGTCATAGTAATATATTAGTGCCCCGCTTGTTTTCACTTGTGTGTGAACAAACATGGCTTCGGCCGCGGCTGAGCGACAACGAGGTTTTCGTTCCGAAGACGAACGCAGGGTTTCCTTAGCGCGCGGCGCTAACAACTCAGCGATGTGACATGCCTCGGAGAAAGCGTAAAAACACGTTGGACGCTTCTTCTGAAGCAGGAAAATAACACTTCTTAAGCAGAGCACGACGTCGCCTCGGCTCGTTCACCCTCTGCCGAGCCGGTGTCGGTACCGGACTGAGCTCGGTCACTGGGTCGCTGGAGCTGCCCCGTGACTGCCTGATGGAAAACCAGCGGGTTTCATCAGACTCGTAGTTTCTTGTTTTTGCTGGGACCCCCTGTATTTTACCGCTCCCTCCTGCAGTCTTCCCCCATTAACATTTAAAATGATTCTGTAAACTCGGTGTATCAATAGAAACAATCTCTGCCTCTGCCAGCTGCAGTAAATGTAGTTTCCAAATAATAAGAGGTGCATTCATCTGTGTATCTCCTTTGATCCGCATTAGTGATATTTTCAGCACCAGAACAGTGAAGCAAAGAAAGATTCCTGAGTTTGTTAGTAATTTTATTTATTAGGTGCATCTAACCTGTTCTACTTTTCTCTGAAATGAGATCAAATCAGTGCTTCTATGGGTTGTCTCCAATCTGCACTGGAAAATTTTACTTTATTTAGAGACTTGTTGCAGAAAATATTCAGAATGCGCAGTTTTTTGCTACCACAAGCGGTCTCTGGTCCAGCCGCACATCAGAGCCGTATTTGAGCTTAACTATCCACTACATGAGCAACTGGGAGCTACATAGTATTTTGAACAAGTTAATGTTTGCACAATACGTTTGCAATTGACATGTTTGCACTTTAAATATGTTTACGATTTTAATTTATGTTAAGTTACTTGAAAAACGAGAAAAACTGATTTTTGTAATTGTTTCTCTCAGGACTTTTATCATCTCTGGTGTGAGTTTAAAATATAAGTGTGTTAGCACTGTGTTGATTATCCCTAATATGAATAAATGTTTGTTTATTCAATGTTTCTCTTCTTTAATACGCAATTGAAGTTATGCTATCCATGGATAAAAAATCGTGATAAAATTGAAATCGTGATAAAATATTGGAAAAATCGTGATATTCTATTTTTGCCATATCGCCCAGCCCTACTCTCAACGTGATTGATAAAATTTTTTCAACGATGAGAACGGGAGAAGGGGCTCCTGGATGCCCCTCCGCGACAGACCCAGTTGGGCACATCATGGACTCCTGGAAACAGTGGAACTTGATTTGTTTATCTCAGATGTCTGTGGATGTCTCTGAAGACGTGTGGATATTCGTGGTGTTGGTGTCAGGTTTCCTGCTCATTGGCCTTGGAGGCTACCTGGCTTACCGGAAGATTAACGAGCTGTCGAGGAATATTGGCCTGATCCCGGAGCTCAGAGATGGTTTGCACCGCGCTGTGAATTCACAGACTCACATAATTGTAGATGAATCATAAGCTTGGAACTTTGGCCAAGATTCATTATTGGCACAAAAGATGGATGCCATCAAGGAGAGAGTGGACGAATCAGCACGGATTGGGATAGATTAATGTCCATTATTGGGATTTTGAGAGGTTGAGGACCAACAAACTGTAAGACCGAGAGGAAATTGTCTCTGTCTGACCCCAAAACAATTTCTAATCGGAATCTGGCGCCCTTGAACCTGCAAGGCTCCAATGAAAACTCCCCCCTCAGAAGATATGTGGAATGTGCCGTCGCTATGGCAACTCAACTCTGTATCCTTTCCCAGCCTGGGCGGGACTGCGGGAAGGCCACTGAAACGTTCCAGGGTCACTGCAACCCTCAATGCTCCCCCCCCCCCCCATCCACACTGAGGTGACATGCGCTGCTTATCGTGGCTGCAGGAACTGAAGTAGGGATAGTCCCAACCCACCACCCCACCTAGTGGACACTTATGTTGTGTTTTCTGAAGTCTGTTGCATTTCTGTCTGAGGTGTTTTTTTTTGCAGAGCAAAGCTGCCCTCCTGGTGGAGGGTACCTCTGAAGTGCCTTTTTTTTCCCCCTCCACCTGAACCAATCCTCATGTAACCCTCTTATCTCTATTATACCGGTAGGTAAAAAAAAAATTGTAAGTCGCTTTGGATAAAAGCGTCTGCTAAGCACGTAAACATAAACATAAACATTAAGGTAGAGCGACTCAGGGTTGCGTATGACCACAGTCACCAACTCTTGTCGTGTCTTGCCCATGTATGTCTGATCTCTGAATTGTGTGTACTGAAACTCTAATTTCCCTCTGGGATTAATAAAGTATCTTTGATTTGATTGAAAGTATGTTTAGCGGTCATTTCATGTCGGGTGGAAAGGAGGCTTAAAGCTACATTCATGCTGTAGGCAAAAGCGCATCAAATCAGGTATATTTGAAACTGGAATCCACCTTACAGATCGGTGAGGTTATTTTAAACCAGAAGATTGGAACTTTTTATTGCAGGGATTAGATAACCGCTTCGTAATCACTCAGAGACAACAGAAGAGAGAGAGTCAAGTTTAAAAGTTAAGAATTTTATTACTATCAAATTAAACTAGACTGACTTTAAACACTAGATGTTTGGTGTAACTAAGGTGAATGAGATGGTGAATGGATGACGTGTGATGTTAATCAGAACCAGCAAATCTGAAGAAGCGATTTGTTCTGACAGGAACTGAAGGTGATGTCTTCGCGTTAAGCTTTGGTTAGGAGGTTCATAAACACATGAGACACCATTTGCTGTTCTACATACCCTTCAGGAAGTCCTCTTTAGATCAGGAATGTCGAGGTCGAGCTTGACCTTCTCTGGAACCGAGCCGGTAGGAAAAGCAGCGGTTGCCGACCAGACCAGTCTGTGAGATACTTCCGGGTCACGACAA